GCTATCTTCGGAGTGTGAGCCCAGTCAGAAAGATATCCCACCTGCTCTTTCCTCTGTCGAGCTCCACAGCAACTACTGGGAAATCCCCAAATCTGCCTTCTCCGCGTCTCATCAGAGCCATCCAGCCATCGATCCCTCCTCACCACAGGATGTCTGCTTCTTTGTTGGCATCCAAGATGAACCATAGAGCGTTCACAACAGTCAGATGCTCCAGGACCTGAACTTTAACAGAAACATGGTCTAATGTCAGCTCTCTTGTTGAGACAAGGATGGATCGATGGATGGTAGAAATTTTAGCCAATAATCACTGGTGTATCTGTTTTTTACACTGACTCTGAACACTCCATCCAGTGCAAAGAGTATTGTACTTCTGTGATGTGTTTTATGACCTAAATCAGTGTGCAGCACAGTATGATATCTATCTACTTCCCTAAATATTTTTAGGTTTAAAATATGCACACATAGGAACCATCCCAGTGCATTTACTGACAGCTTCTTTCTTTCCCTTCAAATATTGACTCTTTCTCCATTTCACCACGCTGATGGACTCGTACCGTTGAGTGATATGTCCAAGGTTTGTGGTCCCAATCACTAATTTAAAGTTTTTTTCAGTATATAATGATTTTAATTTTCTAAATAATTAATACTCCACAGAGTAAAACGGGTAGCAAAGAAGGCGGGGCTACCGTGTGAAGGTGTCCTTTGGTTCTCAGTGCGATCAAATTCCAGAGGGACTGATTGTATTCAGTATAATGTGAAACTAGGGACTGAGACCTCAAAGTCGTCAGGAGTCTTTTTTTAGGTCATAGCTGAAAGCTGTTTTACTAAAAAGAGACTTTTTGCACCTACAGGGTGGTGCAAAAAGTCTGTGGTGGCCTTTAAGGAGAATGCAAGTTTAAGCTACTTCCTTTTAAACCTGAAATCTATTTATTATATATAAAGGCTCTAATATTACAAATCTTGGTGCAACAATCCTTAGCATTAATCAAGGTGATCTTTCCAGGATTTTTGAGTAAAACCAAGTTGTTCACTTAATTGGAACACTTTTAACTCTTCGTCATTGCAGCTGTCTTGTATTAGTAAATCTCTACTGCATAAGGAGAGGCTATTTCACATGATTGGGCAGAGTTACGTGTGATGATCGGTCTGGGGTAAAAAGCTGTTCCTGAGACTGGTTGCCTATTATTTGGTGGCCGCTTACCATCAGGCGACTCTTCTAAGCTGACGATGACCTGGATGTGATGAGTGTCTGAAGGTTAGTGGTTCTGTTTTGGCAGCGGTGTCTGTAGATATGTTCAAGGGAGAGAAGAAGGCAGCCAAAGCTGTTTTGTGCAGGAGTAATGACCCATGCCCAAATGACTAGTCGGCCACTGAAACCTGATGAAAAATGTTTCTGCTAGAGAAAATGCACTGAAGCTGACGTTTTCAGGTTAAAGGCTGGTTCTGGTCCTGGGCCAGCTAGGCAAAGGGGAATGCAATCAGCAGTACAAGTCACATCAGCCCATTGCCTCTGGCCAATAATGCAGTGCATAGGCTGAATGCTGATTGGCTGAAAGGAAGTGTAAACTGAATAGGGAATGACCACAGCCTTAATCTGCAGTACAAAGAATTTCTTTGTGCACTATGAACTCTGTAATCCAGCAAAAGGACCAACAGAACCACAAACAAGAGTGGCCCATGTTCCAGTTATTAAACAGTACATGTATGTTTTTAAACTATAGCCGCAATGTCAAGTTGTTTGCATCTGCAAAGTGCTCTGTAGCACCGACACAGTGCCATGCTGGAGCCAATACGTTCCATTTTTATAGGACAAACGCACAGTTTTAGCATGGATGAAGACATGATCCAGTATGCCACAAAACTTTACAAACTTTTAACACTTTAGACATTGCATAGGCACAGTATTCAGACATGCCATTAAACTGTCTTCTGTAGGCGATAATAACTCTCCCATAACATATAATTCAGTGTTAAATAAGTAACAGTCGGCTGCCTGAAGCCCGCCATACAATAATGGCTTTTATATCCAAGTTGCAGCTCACTGTAAGTATAACTTTCAGGGTGACTGACTTGAAATGGAAAAGTAATGTTAAATTTTGAGACGTATCTACCAAACAGCACAAGTCATGTTATTCACTTTCAAATCATTTTGAGCCGTATGTAAAGCCAGCGGCAGACCTTTGCTCAATAACCGCCATCAGATGTGGTTATTGCGCTTCTTCCTCTGTAAGGTGACCAAACTTTTGCACATGTCACAGTCACAATTTTTATTTGTTATATTATTAAGTTCAAAATTTAAAGATAACAGTGCAATAACCTTTGAAGATAGGCTTCTTTTAAGTATAAAATATCAACTCAATGTGCTATTTCCCAGAGATTTGCTGGTAGTTACATGGTCAGACCTTGAAATATGTTTTGTTTCCCGCAAATGTAATTTGTGTTAAGACACAAAATGTAATTTTGTGTTAATATCTTGTGATATTTCAAGATTAAACAATTGATAATTGATTCCATTGCTATAAATGGTGAATGGACTGATTCTTATATAGCACTTTTCTACTCTCCTGGAGTGCTCAAAGCACTTTATACAACATGCCACATTCAACCCAATCACACCAGCACTGTCTTCCAAGTTTCTTAGTGCTTCCTAACATTCATACACATTCAGACTCTGATAAACGCATCGGATGCGGTGTGTGTGTGTGTGTGTGTGTGTGTGTGCACATGAGGTTGTGAAACACAAAGATTCATCCTGACACGAGAACTTCAGAAGTCATCCGCAACAATGGGAGAAAGTCCCAGAAGGATTACAATCTCAGGAGCAGTCCATAATTCAAGTGTGTATGGTAGAGCAGACACCTGCAAGTGTGACTAAAATATGATCACAAAACAACAAAAATGTGCACCTTCTATATATAAAGTCGAACACGGAGAGTTCCTGCACACATGCAGAGATTTTGACTGGATGGCTGATATAGTTTTGAAACAAATCTCTTCATTCTTCATGCAGAGCATGAAAAAACCTGCTCTCCTCTTTCTCTGGGTGAAGAACACCTTTCAGCTCCAGGCCCTATTTGAATTAGAATACTTCTTGATGTTCCTGAGTTTGTTGACTATTTTTATTTTTTTGTTTTCTAATATTATTAAGGCAAAGTTTGTCTTTGTAATTTTCACAGAAAAAACAACACAAAGAGACATGACACGCGCTAAAGCAAATCTGATTTCTGACTCTAATGGAAACAATAAAAATAGTTCATGTTGTATTCACTATGACCTGAAACTATTAAGATTAAAACTCACCAGGAAAGTGTTTGCTGAGGTCATAGGTCATTGGAGGTGAAAGGTCATTACTCTTATATACTTATATATCCTATTTCACCAGTAGTTACTTCCTCTGCAGCCCAAATCTGCTCGCAGACAGATGTTGCTATTTACAGATCTAGACCTATTCCAATTACTACTTTTATTTTGACAGACCGGTTTAACTTTACTCTGATTACCTTATTTTAATCTGTGCAGCCTTTACCTTTACAATAAATGTATGTACACAGGAAACACACAGACTTCTTGCCTTGCAACTCCTCCCACGTGGCCCTACTAAGCCAATCAAATGCTTCATTTAGAGCACGTGTGAAAATGGAAAACTATTGTTGGACTGTAACTTCTTTGTTTTATTTGACAGCCAGTTGATTACCATGTGCAGGCACGGATTCAATTCTTAGGCTACTATAAAATATATCGCATTGAATTATAATGCATGTGCAACTTATTTTTTGGACCTGGCAAAAACAGAGGAACGTTCATGTTTCTGCCTTTTATTTTGCATGATAGTCACTATTGCTTAATGTGTGATTTTGCCTAATATTTAAAAATGATTTGGTTCTGTAACATGTTTTATAGCATCACAGACTGCAAACTCAAACTGTAAATGATGCAGTTCCTCTCCATCAGCTTATCGTTTATTCAGAGACACCCTCATAGAAAGATTTCCTATCTGCATGTGAGTTAGTAGCCCCAATGAATAATTATAATTCAGTTTCATGCACTGCAGACAAGCCCAGAGTGATGCATGAATTCATGCAAAATGACAGTATGTTTATTAACATGCAAACAACTAAAGATCTGACAGAAATGTTTTCTTACATGTCAGCTGTTACACATACAGGAAGGAATAGTTTGTAATAAGGCAACTCCCTGGATATCCTGATGCATGCTCAATCATCCAGGTGAATCCAAAAAGGTTGATTCTGTTCATCCGGATGTTTTCAGTGGGAGAAACGTTTGGTCAGTCATCCAAGTGTATACTTCAGTCAATGTTTTTCTCACTGAAAACGCTACGTCCAGATGAACAGAATCAACCTTTTGGAACTCCCTGGATAAGTCCAGGAGTCCACCCAAGTCTCAGTTCTCAGGACCACGCAGTCTCCACTAATTCTTGTCAGCAGACTTCACCCTTATATTATAAAAATGGAACGTGGCGTCAGAGAACCTCCACTATTCATTAAATCAAACTTCAGACTCCCAACCAGTTGATTCATTGAGTAATGATTCCACAATTTCCTCAACTTATATACCCCTTCCCATGTAAATTATGCATTTGTTTCCAGATTCAGTATTTGTATCACAGCTGATTTTCCTGCTGTGTCAGTGGTTTTGTTAATGTTACTAAACATCCAGGAGGTATCCAGGGCTGTTTACAGACTTTTGAAATGGAGTGTTATAAAGGGCCCAAGAGTGTTTATTTAAGGTTTGGTGGTGATGGTGGGAGGGGTCAGTGGCACCCTAGTTCTCACTCCAGACACACCCCTGCTTCTCCCTGAGGACCACTCATTTCGATGAAAACTAGCTTGTAGCGTGTTTCCTTAAAATCGCGATTCGCTGACTAAACACACATTTCGTATTTCCATCAATATGTGACTGTGTAATCTCAGAAAATACCCGTTTTTGCTTGGCACGGCTCTAACGACCACGGGACGGGGGAGTTCGAGGATGAAGGGACGTGTTGCGCATGCGCCGTGATCAACATCAACATCACGGAGAGAAAGGTGATGGCGGATGATGGAAGGGAAGAGTCGCTGGGGACTGACGATGATTCAGACCAAACGGGAGCGGACGGCAGCTTGAACAACACTGTGAGAGCGTAGCTTCTCTTTACCGGTTAACCTGCTCATTTATTCCGTTTGTATTTGTCATTGCGCGTTATTTTACGGTACATGGCATTTAGCGTTGACGTAAAGCTCAGGGCAGAGGTTCCTTATACAGTCTAGCACATGCAGGAGCATACACGTCAGCATATCACTGTGCTCAGTAATGTTTTTACTTTTGCGTTTAACTCATTTTGCGGATATTACCATGTTAATTTGGGTTTAAAGGCGGATCGCGTGCGTCATATAAACAGCTGTTAGCGTAGGGAGAAGCATGGAGCTGATGGGTGATCGAGCTGCGCATGTGTTAGAGACAGCTGAAGGAAAACACAAGGTTGGAGTTGTGCATGTTCCTGGGATGTAGCGCAGTTCATTCACCCTACGAGTCAACAAACACGAATTACTATGTGAGAGTCACTGAGTCTGTTTAAAACGTTTTTGTCTCTCATTTAAGGAACTTAATGGACTAAATTTGTCTACCTGTGTCAGGGATACACTCCATCATCCATCCATTTTCTTCATTATTGTCCAATTCAGGGCTGGAGCATAACCCGGCTGGCATAGGTGGGGTGCACGTCATGCATATTCAGAACATGTGACAATATCTGTGTAAAAAAAACAAAACAAAAGAAAACCTCCAGCTCTCACTTCCTCTTTGCTTTTGGTTCCTGCTCCTACCAACTCTTCATAATTAAATTCACACCAAAAGATTTTAGTGGTATCAACTCATTCATATTTGTCATTGTAAAGAACATCAAGTGTTGAAGGATAAAAAAGCATACCCGTCTGAGGCTTTGTTGTTTCGCTGACTAATGTCACCTCAGCTTTTCTCACTGACTTCTGTGTTTCTTGTGTTAGGGCCAAATCATGTGTTCTTTTGTTGTGTCGACTCAGATGGTGGAAGAGGGCTCGACCCTCATGCGCAGGATGGAGATCTGCGTAGCTGAGGCCGAGAAGAGGAGCGGCAAAAATGCAGTGAGCATGCAGGAGACGTTCACTGTGTACCTGATCGAAACAAGGTGAGCTCAGCATGCTGTTTGCCTGTTTGGTATGAAAGGAAGTTCTGTGGGTTAAGCTGTGAGGTTTTCACACTGTATATATTTTATCTGTGTTTCCTCTTGTGATGTTGCATGAATTGCATCTATTGGCTCAGCAAAAACAGAACTAAATTCTACTGTGGTCCATTCTTTAAAGGCCAATGGATGCAGTCGCTGAAGGCCATAACCCAGCCCCCGACTGTCTGTGGAGGAGGTACAGTGAGTTTGAACTGCTGCGCAACTACCTGATAGTTACCTATCCGTACATTGTGGTACCTCCTCTGCCTGAGAAGAGGGTGAGTCCAGTGTGACTTTGTTAAGTGTCTTTTAAGAAATATATAATCTAATATGACAACACAAGTGTAAGCACTTCCAGTTAACTCTGGCAATTGAAGGCTTAGTCAATATTGAGCTGAAAATCTTTGTCATTACTCATACAATGCATGACACGTGATTAATACCATCATAACACTGACATATAATGATTTGTCATGTATTAATCTTTTTATTGCCGAATTTTAAAATGGGTCAAAATGCAACATTAAGTTGTAGAGTAATTTCTTTGTGAAGGATGTGATGTTTCCTCCAGACCGCCT